GGCTAATCTCATAGGACAGCAGTAATGAGCCTAACCATGGGTACATTCACATAACATTCACATAATACAATCATATAGCCACATTTAAATCTACAAAGTACAAGTAGTATTAACCAAAACTTTCTGGTACCCTAAACCAGTTCTCATTATTATTTTATAGTCACAGCTGGAGAATCTCAACAGCCACACACTCATTCATAGTGACATCCGAACTAGCAGTATGGTTCCTATGGAAGACAACTACAGGGCCAAGTGGCCACATAGACACACATCCTAAGCCGCCTGTGCATACTATGAGAAGAATAGGAGCTTAGGTTTTGGAGACATGCCAACCTGGGTCCAAGCTCTACTACTGATTAGTTGCATAATGGTTTAACATGCCTAGCCTTAGTTCTAGAAAATGGAGATAATCCCTATCTTATACATTTGATATGATGATGACATAAAATAACCACATGACAGCGACTTGTCTGACCCAATATGACCTAGGGAACCAACTGTGACTGCCATGTATAGCTTCTGTCACCAGAGGGCACCAGGGTTCCAAGGTGTCTGTGGGTGAGGAGTGTTGAAAGAAAATATACCAGAAAGACTAGGATTCCTGAAGGATTTAGGGTTGAATGTAGACTGAATAGATATAGGTATGTCTGGTGTTAGGAAGCCTCTGGAAACCCTAGCTTTCCCCAATATCCTGGGCATGCCAGTATTGCCCATATACCAGGCCCCGTCTGGGACTATTTCACACACAGTAAATCCTTTAATCGCTGCACAATACCAGGACTGGTAGTCACTGTACTCCTCAGGAAAACCATGGAAACCTGTTCCCAATTTCACATTCCTATGAAGCAGAAGACCTGTGATTACAAAGCAAGAAGCCTGGCTTCAGTGCCCAGGCCCGCAACTACCACCTTAACGTCATGGGTTTTCACAATGACTCCCTCACCCCCCTACCTACCCATTCCTGGGGTTCTGCCAGCATTCTCTGACCCTGGCTGTCTTCCCTGGACCTTAGCCAGCCCCAGCTGGCCCTTTCCCCTCTTCCAGCTCCCACCTGTTCCCTGGACCAGACCATGCTAAGAGGCTTATCAGCCTTGTGTGGGGACTAGATAAGGCAGGGCCCCCCACAAGGCTTATCTGGCCCTGCCATCCCAGCTGCTAGGAGTTGCGGGGAGCTGCCAACAGATAGAGCCCCACCCACCTAGGCAGCAGGCCACCATGCCTCACCTCCTCAGGCCCAGATCTTTCCTCGGGGTGTCATCCCTCCCCAGTGATGTCATCATCTGTAGTGACATCATTGCTTTGTCCCTCTTTCCAGTCCAAGAGGACAACTCAGACAGGAGTTGGGGAAGTGGAGTCAGGGAAGAGGCCTGGTCAGCAGCTGGAGTGGGATTCTGGAGAGGTGTCACAGGATAATCCCCATGGCAGATAGCTATTTTTGGTATTGGCTCTTCCTCCTCATAGTCACCCCTCTTCCTGTCTTCCCAATCCAAAGAGGCTCTGGATCCATCTGGGGTAGGGGCAGAGGAAGAAACCTATATCCTTCTGCAGGGCAGCTCTAGGGGTTAATTTTAGACCAGATCCAAGATAAGAGCATCAGTAAAGCAAGCCTACTGCTGCCAGCACTGTCCCAGCCCATTTCAGTCGTGGCTAGTTCTGAGATCATACCAATTACTGGAAGGATCTTGGTCATGCTGAGCTGCCCCTCCCCCCTCCCGCCCAGTGAATTAGGACACTGATGCCCTGAAAATTGGATATTAGAAGCACTGACTGGTCTAGATGTTTGGCATCCTAAGCATTAGGCCCCTTGAGAGTTGGGCACTAGAGACTCTGGACACTGGCAACTCTGGGTTTTGAGTTCTCCATGGTGTTGGAAACTGGCAGCCTTGCCTTTGGGAATCCTGGACTTCACAATAAACTCAAAGGTATTTAGGAATCTGGGCGATTGTACTGACGATTGCAACAGCTCCCCAGGCAGAGCCAAAGTCATCGTGTCCTGTCTGTCTGGCAGTTTACCGGGGAGGGGGGCATCTCTGAAGTCCAGCCTGGATTAGCTTGTGCTAGGAACACTTAAGGATGAGGCAAGATGGCTGGAAGGACACTTAAAGTCCCAGAGACAACTGTTGGATCTGAACCAATCTAAGCTACTGCCCTGCTTTGGGTTAGGGAAGGGAAAGTGTCAAACACTGACCATTGGATGCCAAGTTCAAGAAAGGGAGAATCTGAGAAGCAAGCCCAGGCAGGGCATTCCTAACAACGCTTCTGGGCCTCTAAGGCTGGGGCTCCAAGGAAGTGGAGATCAGGCCAGGTTCCAGTTCACCCAGCAAAACCTATCTTCTCATAATTTCTCAGCACCCCTCTAGTCAGGTGCTCTATCAAAGTGGTTCAAGTTTGGCATTCTTCCTGCTCCCACACCTGACTCTCAGTCTCAACACTGAGGACTTGATCCTGCTGGCTGATGAAGACAAAGGAGGGAACCCAGCCAGCACTAGGAGATCTGATGTTGGGCACAGCTCTCCCAGGAAATAGCACTGTAACTAGAGGCTTCTAAGACAGGCCTCAGCCAGCAGTGGGTGGGCCCAGTGGCTGCCTGGCCTCTTGCTGTGCTGGTCCTGGAAGACACAGACCAGCTGGAATGTCTGACCCTATCAGTCCTGTCTATCTTCAGACTTGATCTCTCCCTTCATTCCCACAGTGGCATAGACTGACTATATTCTCTCTCCTTGTGGGCCAACTGCCCAAGAGGAAGCTCACAGCCAGGCATAAAGGCCATTACAGCTCCGACCTGGGCTAGGCCCAGACCTGCCTTCCCTGGGACTTCATTCTAATGGGGGGGGGGACAAAACACAAGCCACTCCAGTTCCTGTCTCATAGAGACAGCTTTTCAAATCAGAATCTTTGTCACAGCCGCTCCTCAAGACTCACTCACTAGGTGGCTACCTGATGCTCTTTATAGATGAAAGTAGGCAAAACTTACATAGCTATTAACTTGTGTACACTAATCACTTTGTGCTATGTCACTATTAGGCTAGCAAAATCCTCGTGGTCAACTGCTCCAATTTCCCCAAACACTCCAAGGACTATCTTCTCTTTTCCCTACTTTATGAGCTAAAGTCTTAGGCTGCCTCCCTATCCCCACATGAATCTCAAAAGTGATGGGGGAGAGGGGGCAGCTCAACTCTGAATACCTTTTCTTTCTTTTCATCCAATCTCCCCAGGCCCTGAGAGCATCCTGCCCCTGCCTCAGTTCACCTGGATTCCTTAGGGTAATTAGAAAGTTCCACTTTCCCTGGGGCATGAAAATTCTCCAAACTTTTGCTGAGTGTTCCCAGAACCTTCCTAGTGCCTTCTAGGCTCACCTCTACCCCCCTTCCTTAGAGGGGGGTCTCCTCCTCCCACCCCTTTCTGTCATCCTCTTTTTTAATTCCCACTCTGCTTAGAGGCTAGTTCCAACAGCCTCCACTCTGCCTTCCCTGAGAATGGAGCACCTTTTGACAGGGAGGAAGAAGGGAAGAACAGATCAGAAGCAATTTCTGGGAGGAATTTAATCCTGGTAGGAAAGATGAGGAGGACTTGGATCCTACCTGCTCAGACCCAGAAGTTGGGCACACATACAACTACACAGGCCTGCTGAAGTATCTACAGTCATTCCTCTGGATGAACCTGCATACACTCACTGTCAGGAGCCACCAGCACAACAGATTGCCCAAACACCCACAATAGGCTCACAGAATATTAACCTGAAAGAGATTGTATTTGATGAGAATCTCAAATGATGGGACCAAAAAAATAAAAATAAAATAAAATAATCAAATGATGGGAATCTGCTTTGTCCTCATAACTCAATGTTGCTCCCAAGGCTTGGACCCCCTTCCCCAGGGGACCTTCCCAAAATTCTCCAGCCTAGAATCTTAATCTATATATGAAAGCCCACTCCTTCACCACCACCCCCCCCCCAGGTAATAAGCACCTGAATTCCTCCAAGCAGATACAGCTGAGGACTAGCTCAAACTATAGGTTCCCCAAGCCAGACCTGTGCCCTAAACTCCGGAAACTCTTTGCACTCTCCAGCAACCTGTGCTGTGACCTTGCCCACAACCATTATCCTTCTTAATTCCCTCCACCCCTGCTCCATTACACCTCATGTCTCCTGACTCTCCTCTGGTCACCAAGGCATCCCTCTTCTACTTTCCATTGATCTGGTCTGTTGAGTTCACTTTCTGCTCTTTCTTTATTCTAACACTCTCATGACTAACACTATTGTCCTAACAGTATTGGCTAGGTTTAAGGACAAAGTAAAAAGGGGTATAAGTGTCTTTGCAGAAGACCTGATTGTCTCCAACAGCGACTAGGTTGAGTTCCAAGGCAGTGGAGAGCTGTCTGTGTGAACTGGAGCTGGGGAATAGACAGAGAGGGCACACATTACAGGAGGTGTCTGGGCAGGACACCTGTTATCTTGTTCAGGGGCCCTGACTATAAATTAATAAAGTAGAATCTCATTCCTTGATTGGTCTTGTGCAATTTTGACAGGGATGCATCTGCTTCTTCAAGGCTGAGTGTCCCCAGAGGAAAAAATAAGACCAGTTTCTTGGCCATGGTGGTGAGGATGCTGTGGGCACAATGGAGTCAGCCTCTCCAGCCTAGGGTGTTCCCACTCAGGCTGGAACAGCAACAACAGTTCCTGTTAACAGTCCCTTTCCGGGAAAGGTGGCTATCTTCAAATAAGCAAATATGGAGGGCCCATTCCAAATTCCAGGCCCCACTAGCCAGCAAGTGAATAGGTAGGCATTTCCTTAACGAATCCTCTCCATTTCAACAGGCTCCACGAGGCAACTCGTAGCCAAGCCTCCTTTAACTGGGATTGGGGGCCCCTTGTCTGTCTCCCCACTGAGGGACTTAGGGAGCTCACGCTGATGTTTGTAACAGGGGGGCGGGGAGGGGAGTGTACTGGAGAAAGGACTCCCCCAGCTCTCCAATTCCAAGGAGTAGGTCCCAGGCCTTACCCAGCTGGGCCCAGTCTCTAGCGGCGCAGCTCCAAAGGGAACGGAATTTGCTTTTGACTTCTCTCTAGGGGGAACGCAGGCGCAGAAGGCCAGGGGCCCGGGCGGCTAACTTCAACCCCCCCCCTCGCCCCCCCTTCATGTGCCCCAGGCCTTTTGGCTTCATTCCAGCCTAGCCCGAAGGGAACTACATCTGCTTCTTTCCAAGGGCCCCAGCTGGAGGGTAGCAAAGGCCTGGGCGGAGAATTGGGGTTACGTCGACGAGCCCCACTCTCAGGGGTTTGCGGGGATCAATCATCTGAAAGCCGGAGCGACTTGTAATTTTATTCCCTGGGAGGAGGAGTCTGGGAGAAGTCGGCACGCGGGAGGGGAAGGGAGAAGGGAGCGGAGGGGAGGGGACGGGGCGGGGGGAGGGAGGGCGGCCAGGGGAGCTGTTCGGGGAGAGGAGGGACTTGGCTGGGTCTCTCCAGCCTTCTTCACTCTTCAAACTTTCACCAAACTCTGAGCCCCCGCCTCCCCGAAACCAAAACACAACAAGCTCTGGAGGAGCGGCGAGCGGCGCGGCGGGGCGGGCGGACTCGCGGCGGCTCCGAGCCTCGGGAGGCTGATGCAACTTTCCCTTTAAGAAAGCCACCTGGGCGCACGGCGGTGCGGACCCGGCACGCCAGGGCCGGGGGCTGCAGCATGGTAAGAGGGGGCCGGGGGGCCGGGGCGCTGCGGTGCTCAGCCCCGCGGCCAGCGCGCGCGTGCGTGTGTCCGTGTCTCTGTGTGTGCGGTGTTTGCGATCGCGCATGCATGCGGCATCTGGGGCTGCGAGTGTGGGTGCTCGCACCGGGATGTCTGTCTCGCCGCGGAGGTCGGGGTAGGTGCGCGCGTCTGGGTGTCACCGCTGTCACCAAGGAGCCGAGGCGGGCGGGAATCGGGAGGTGCGGGGACGGGTGGGGGGGTAGAGGGAGAGAAGCGGTGCCGGGAGTGGAGGGGGGTGTGCTGCGTGCCGACGCCGGCTGGGTCGGGGGCGGCGGGAGGTGCGGGGAACGCCGGAACCAGAGCGTGTCGCGGTCTGTCTGGGGCGCCGGTGGGTCTGTGCGTGCGGGGATGAGGGGCCCCCCGCGGGGCGCCGGGTCCCGCACCCCTCGCGCGGGCTCTGCGTCCCTCCTCCTCGCCGCCGGCCTGGCGGCCGCTGCCTGTCTATCTGGCCGCTCCAGCCCGCGGCCTCCCTCATCTGCCCGCCCACTCGCCCGCCGGGTGCCGCGGGTTCCCGCGCGCCCGCGGGTCTCGGGAAGCCGTGGGAAGTCACGGGGCCCTCCGGATCTCTTTGTCCACGGGCTCCCGAGGCCACGGCTTTGGGAAGGGACCGCCAAAGAGGGGAGTTCTTTGGGGGTGTGGGGGGGGACTATTACCTTGGGGGAGGGGGATAAAAAAAATCTGCGCCCTCACCACCGGGAACCTGGTTCCGGGAGCGCCGAGGGCGAGCCCCGGCGGCCGCAGGTGAGACCGGGGGCGCCTAGCAGCCCCGCGGCC